TTAATATATAACCTACTAGGTACCTAATATACCTTTAGAAAACTACTTTAAAAAGCCTTTTCTTAATACTTTTCTCTCTTTTATACTTTAGGGGATAAGCGTAGTAACTATATATATATAACTAGCCTTAATATAGACATAGATCCTAGGTTATACTTATATTTAAAGTTAGCTAATACTATCTAAAATATTATTAGTACTAAGCTTCTTTTACTTTAACTAAGGATTTTTAGTTATTATATTTTTAGGGGCTTATACTAATAATATAGGCTACTACTATTACTACTTTAGGCTATAAATTAGTTAGTAAGTTTACTATAGACATTATCTTAATTAAATAAGTAATAATTTCCTAGCTAGCTCTTTTACCCCTTTAATAGGTTCTTTAGTATAAGGCAGAAATAGCTTTACCTTTATACTAAGTTCTTATATCTACTGTTTATAGGGAGTATAGCCTTATATACTAATTATAGTACACTTAATATCTTATTAGATCTTATAGATTAATAGCCTTTTTGCCTTTATATCTACTATTTAAATAGTTAAATTACTTTAAAAACCTAGTTATAGGTCTTATTAACTCTTAGGAAAACAAATAGTTAACCTAAATATTTGTCTTTAATAATAAGTATCTAGCTTATACTATTAAAGCTAGTTAAATAATTAAATAAGTCTTATAAAATATAATAGTATAGTTATATTAACTTTACCTTTAATATTTATCTTAAAATTACTTATAAGGCGTAGGTAGTAGCATAATATTTATATTTAAGTTATAAGAAGGCTTATATCTTAACTCTATATATATTTATAATAAGTTATTAAAGTATATCTAGTCCTAGATGTCCTAAATAAAGGTACTATAGTATTATATTATTTATCCTATCTCCTTATATGTTATATAATAGTCTATAGTAGTAAAAAGCTAGTTAAGAAATAATAAATACTTTAGTACTACTATATAGGAACAGATAGGAAGAATAGAAGTTATATTAGAGAAAGACTAGGTTAAATTTCTAATAAAGTAGTAAATTACCTTGTTCTTCTTAAGTAACCTAAAGTATAGTATATAATCTAGACTATAGTACTAAATACCTACCTTATATAACTTTATTTCTATAATAATATTTATATAGAAGTTTTTTATATAGTAAACGTTATTTAAGACAAAATTAATTAGTCCTTTCTTTTTAGTTAGAAGTCCTTTAATAACTCTAGTTCTTTTCTTAGTAACTAAGAATAAAGTAGATCCTGCTTAGACTGTCTTGTCTAGACCTACGTTATAAACTAAAGATAGCTTAAGAAGGCTTAAGTTATTAACTAAGTGTATAGCTCTATATATATTAAACACTATACTTTTAGAGAGTATATAAGGTCTATTATAGCTATAAGAAAAATATCTATATAAGACACTTTCTAGGTTATACTAGGATTCTAGAAGTATAGGATTAATAGTAATATAATTTATTATAGTAGATCCTAAAGTAAAGCCTACTTCCTTAGACTCTTTTTTCTTTATATTTTTCTTCTTAAAGTTTAATTACTTTTAACCTCTTTAGTAGATAGATTTATTTAACCTTTATTAATTAGTATATATAAAACTAACTACTATTTATCTTTCTTTAGCTATTTATAGATTTTTACTAATTCTTCTAGAGTTTAGTTAAAAGATACTTAATAAGAAATACCTTATAATATAAATTTAACTTATAGATAGTTACTTAGTATTATTATTATAAGGATTCTATAAAGGTAATCCTTTATCCTAGGCGTAGGTAACTTATTATTACTATCTAAATAATTTACTAGTGTTATATAGACTTTAGTTAATTTCTCTTTTATTTTACTAGTTAACTTCTTATAGATTAGTATACTAAAAGTAGCTTTATATATATAAAGTAAGTAAATTTCCTTGTTATTTATCTTTAACTTAATAACTTATTCTAAGGTGTTTTTACCTTAAGTTAATAAGAACTAAGTAAATACTACTCTAAGAAAAGTTTTTATAGCTAAGGTTCTTTACACTTTAGGTATTTTATATTACTTAGCCTAAAGGTAGCACTTATACTAATCTATATACTAAGAGGTAAAATTTATATTAGTGTTAGCCTTAGCTAATATTACTAAATACTCTTCTTAAACTATTATAACTATAGTAGAGTTATTAAGAGTATAGTGCTATTTTAGAACTTTTATAAGAGCCTTTAGTAATATATTATCTTTAAGTTAATATTTACTTAGTGCTCCTTTATCTAGGAGTTCTATATATACTAGTATAAGTAGTAATAAATTAACTATTTCTTAGACCTAGGCTTTAATTACTTTATATATATATTCTTTTTTATATAGCTACTAAGTTCCTTTTTTATATTAAAAGTATAAAGTATTATTATATTTATAGTTACTAAAGTTACTTTTTAATTATCTAGCTTCCCTTTATTATACTTTTAAAGCTAGTTATTAAAGGATTAGAAGTCTAGTTAGTTAGTAATATTTACTTTAGAATTACTATCTAGATTAATATACTTCTACACCTTTTTACTTTTAGTATAGTATTTAAGAGTAATAAACTATTTAGGCTAATTTTACCTTATAATAAGCTTAATAGACTTATTATAGTTAGTTATCTTATTAGTTTTAGAGGATATTATTTTTTAGAGTAGTTAAACTACTTAGTAATAGATTAAGAGAGAGAGTTTTAGAACACTAGGTAATTATAATATTTAGGGGTTTTTTATATAAGAGCTAGGCTTATAACTATAATAAACTATAGCGTCCTAATATTTATAAAGAGAAGTAGTTAATTTTCCTAAGTCTAAGTACAAGAGAAAACTTACTTAGAAATACTCTTCCTAATATAGGTCTTATTAGTTAGAAGCGCTACTCTATAGTGTTTTTAACTAGAACTAGCTACATAAAGCTGTCCTAGCTTTACAACAGTATAGTATAACTATATAAAATCTATTATTATATAGCTCCTATACCTATCTAGGATAAGGAGTCTAGCCTAATTAGGCTAAGAGGGCTTAGTCTAAGGAAGAAAGACTCTTTATAGCTATTTAACAGTAGTAATATTAGTAGTCTATCTATTCTCTATTGCTATAAACTCCTATCTATTATATAGGCCTAGATCTAGAGGGAACTACTACTACTAGACTATTTTACCCTTATATATAACTAAGGGATAGATAGGAATACCTTTAGCAGATATATACTTAATAATAGATACCTAGGCTTATAATCTAGGCTGCTTTTTCCTTACTGCCTTTGTTGTAGCCCTGCTTAGCACTAGCCTATTATTACCTTTACCCTTAAGGATACTAGTCTTATCTATATTATATCTGTTAGCTAGTTTAATAGCCTAGATATAAAGTATAGCAAGATATTTAAACTAGTCCCTAATAACCTTAGTAAATGCCCTATTAATACACCTTAAATTAATAGATTAACTTCTCTAGACCTTAATAGATAGGTTCCTTTAAATAAAGCCATCTACCTACCTTTTGCCTAGAGGTTAAGTATCCCCTATAGTATAGAGAATACAATAGGCAAAGTCCTTTAGTTGTTAATAGGTTAAAGGCAGCCTAAGGTCTACCTGTTTAGTTACCTAAGCAGCTAGGCTAGTCTCCTAGGCAGTTAATAGTCGCTAGAGGTCTTTAAATGTAATTTTTCTAGGCTAGATACTATACATCTAGTTGCAAAGGGTTAAAAGGGGGATACTATATTAAATAGTAGACCTTCTTAGTCCCTAGCCATTAGTAACAGCTTAGATTACCTAATTAATCTTATATTTAGTATACTAGACTATTAGGGTATAAGGAAGGGATTCTAAAAAAATAAGGTAATTTAATAAAGGTTAGAAAAAGTAATAATAGTTTAAAGTTAGTAGTAGTAAAGGAGGTAGTAAGGGATAAGGTATTTATAGGTGTTCTATATATAAGGGTGTTTTATATATAGGTACTTTAACTTAATACTAGTCTACTTTAATAAATAATAATAATACTAGCCTATTATAATAAGTAATAGTAATACTAGCCTAGCTAGGCTTATTATAATAAGTAATAGTAATACTAGCCTATTATAATAAATAATAGTAATATTAGCCTAGCTAGGCTTATTATAATAAGTAATAGTAATACTAGCCTAGCTAGGCTTATTATAATAAGCCTAGCTAGGCTAGTATTATTATTATTTATTAAGATAGGCCTAGCTAAGCTAATATTATTATTATTTATTAAGGTAGACCTAGCTAAGCTAATATTACTATTATTTATTAAAATAAGCTAGTATTACTATTACTTATTATAATAAGCTAATATTACTATTATTTATTAAAGTAGACTAGTATTATTATTACTTATTATAATAGGCCTAGCTAGGCTAATATTACTATTACTTATTATAATAGGCCTAGCTAGGCTAGTATTACTATTACTTATTATAATAGGCCTAGCTAGGCTAGTATTACTATTACTTATTATAATAGGCCTAGCTAGGCTAGTATTACTATTACCTATTATAATAGGCCTAGCTAGGCTAGTATTACTATTACCTATTATAATAGGCCTAGCTAGGCTAGTATTACTATTATTTATTAAGGTAGGCTAGTATTACTATTACCTATTATAATAGGCTAGTATTACTGTTACCTATTAAGGTAGGCTAGTATTACTATTGCCTATTGTAATAGGCTAGTATTACTGTTACCTATTGAGGTAGGCTGGCATCACTATTGCCTATTGCGATGGGCTGGTATTACTGTTACCCATCGCAATGGGCCCGGCTGGGCTGGCATCGCCGTTATCCATCGAGGTGGGCTGGCATCACTATTGCCCATTGCGATGGGCTGGCATTACCGTTACCCATCGAGGTGGGCTGGCATCACTATTGCCCATCGCGATGGGCCCGGCCGGGCTGGCATCACTGTTACCTATCGCGATGGGCCTGGCCGGGCTGGCATCACTATTGCCCATCGCGATGGGCTGGCATCGCCGTTATCCATCGCGGTGGGCTGGCATCACTGTTGCCCATCGCGATGGGCCCGGCCGGGCTGGCATCACTGTTACCTATCGCGATGGGCCTGGCCGGGCTGGCATCACTATTGCCCATCGCGATAGGCTGGCATCGCCGTTATCCATCGCGGTGGGCTGGCATCACTGTTGCCCATCGCGATGGGCTGGCATCAAGCCAAAATTCACATATGTGTGTTTTCAGCGCACGGACTGAAAAGTAGGTTTTGGACGCTGCCAACGCAACAGACTGTAGCGGCTCACATAATGCTCCGCGTATTGGCCATCCCCGCAGGATTTTTCTGGAACTAGAATAACTTCTATTTTAGTCCTCTCTAGATTAGTCTACTTTACAACATACGTCGAAAGCCCAGCAAGGCGAAGACAGTTTCTCGTAAAGCCATGTCCCAAGCCACTAACCCAAGGATATACTTTACTTTGCGGCTCCTTTTTCCAGCTATTATATCTATGTCCAGTCATGATTGTGCCCGCTATACGTGACAGCATAAAGATATGCATGTCTCCGCGGCACAGCCGACTGGAGACCGTTGAATGAATTGGAAACGCACCGCCCGACTTATATCACGAGCCGCCTCCGCCTCGATCGATGTCTTTACGGTTACGAATCTTGGAAGCGCGTCGATGAGGGTCTGATTGCGGTAGACGGTCCACACCTACACTCCTTGCTTCCAAAACTGAACACGGGCTTATTCTCGAAATCGTCAACGTAATCAAATTCGAACGCGGATTCGTATTGCCCTACGGTCATTTGTAACCTACACACAATCCCCTATGCGCCGGCATAATTGACCGCCGAGCCCAGCGAGATCCTAGTGCTGGAGCCGTGCGCCGATAAAAATACAACACTTTCACTTTCTTCTTGGGCTCGAGACTGTTGCTTGCGTTCTTCCACGTCTGCCATGGGTTATGGAATAGTAACGGGCCAGCCTCAGAGGTACGGCCTCTTTCATCAGCACATATCGGAACGTCTGCAAACCAAGGCAATTATATGCTATGCCCGTATATTCTCTTGATGAGTTCATAGTCAACACAGGGGGAGGTCAAAAAACCGGATCAGGTTCGACCCGCCCGTCCCTAGTGGATTGGTAATCTCGCAGGCCGGTGACCAGCACCTATATCCCCTTCGCCTTCATAAACCACGCTGCGGGCCACCGTTCTGACACCTCTTGCTCTGGTCTGTAGTATGGCAGATCCGTGAACCCGAAACGCAGACATTGAGACATGCCTACTCACTCCATCTCCCACTTGAAGCAACGGGTTGATGGGAAAGGCTCGTCTTCGCAACCACTCCTCGATTCATCTACTTAGATAAGGAGGCTTCAAGTCCCTGATGTCCTGAGAAAACGCGAGAATTCTGGGCAAGCCCGCTATGATAATGCCTGCTGATTGTGTATGTTAATGCTGCCTGCTACTGGTTGACCTCGTGATACTATCGGCTGGTCGATGCCTGCTCGAGGCACACGTCGCTCTCGGCGCCCTTATTCCCGCATCATTAATATCGAGTGGGGAGAGCCCCGGGCCAATCAACGCCCAGGCCACTTCTCTTTCTTTCCTCTTCCGGACGGCCCTCATCATCTCGTAATGGACTCTGTTCATCGCGGGGGGGTCCCCTCCAAGGGCCGAGTGACCGGACTGCGTTCCCCCGGCTCGAAAGCAAACCCGTCAGACATAGCGCGCGATGCCGCCCAACTGTGAGACGGCCAGCTGGGATAGTGATTAAGCAAGAGGTGCGGAAATATGAAGACATCTACCTCCGTGTCCGAGACCACCTTGGAGACCTGCTCTCTTTTACCAGCCGAGTCAAAATCAAAAGGTCGCCATGATACAAATTCACATCCGCGTTGAAAGCCAGAAAGGTAAAGCAAATTATAATTATTGGTATCGCTAGGTTCTTTCGCACCTAGAAGATTTCTATATCCACCATTATATACAAGATTGTCAAGTGTATGTATGCTGTAGAATGCGCGTACAAACACGTACTGGTGCGCCAGTGTATGCGAAATGCTGTAGACCGTTTCCGTGCGACGCGGATTGCAGTGCTACGCTGTCGTCTCGTCTCAAGCCAAATATCCCGACTCCGTTTGTTCATGTGTAATGCATGGCCCAGTCACAAACACCACCTCGATCCCGCTCTCCCTCCATATGAACAAGACAAAAAGGGAAGTGACTCGCTACCAGTCACAGAACATAAAATAGTGGTTGATGAAGAGGTTGTACATGTTGATGATGATGAGCGGCAGCGGGTGGTACCACGTGAAACCAGTAACGATGCGCCAGGTGACGACACCAACCATGGCGCCGGTGACGATGATGGCCCAGCAAATGCAGAGAATGCGCATGTTGCGATATTTGTTGCTCTTGTGGGCCTTGGCGTCACCGGAGGCGGCCCAGAGAAGTTCAATGTTGAAAAGACGGTCCTTGATGGCGGTCAGGTAGGCGTAGCTCATGATCGTCATGGAGTGCTGCACGTTAAAACCGTACTTGGCCTTGGCCCAGCAGCGCATCAAAATTATGCCGTACGCAATGGAAGGGATGGCGAAGGCTAGGTTCCAGAACTTGAACCACTGAGGGCGGATGGCGAGCAGGAGAGTACCGGCGATGGGGGCGAGGAAGATGTTGAGCGAAACAGCCATATAGTACATGAAACCTGAACCAGATTAACATAAAGAAAGACTATAAGATGGCTGTTAACATACCTGACAGGTAGCAGATCTTCTGCATCAAAGTTAGGTTGGAAACCCAAAAGTGGCTGTTGGTGAGGAGAGTCGTGGAACCGCGAGCCCAACGCATCTGCTGGGAGAAAAAGGCGCGTGGAGAATTGGGGCAGACACCGGTAGCGAGGCAGAGAGGAATGTACTTGACCTTCCAGCCACGGTCGACAGCGCCGAAACTGCACATGTAGTGTTAGCGATCAACTCCAGGCTATTCCGGCAATCTTCACATACCCAGTGTGGACATCTTCCGAGAACCCAATTTCGGCCGTTCCACCGACTTCGACAAGAGATTCGCGGCGATAGAGCGCGTTGCTCCCGACACAAATAGACGCTCCCCATCGGTTGCGGTTGACCTGAACGACGCGGTAAAATAGCTCCTGTGTGGCACCGGCGCCCTGCTCGACCCACGTCTGGTCGTCGGTGACACGGAAGTACTGGGGGCTTTGAACAAGGGCCGTCTTATCGTCACCCAAATGTTCCACCATCAGCTCCTTGAGGAAGTCGGGACGTGGGCAAAAGTCGGCATCGAAAATGGCAAAGAAGTCTCCGTTGGTCTTGGCAAACGTCCATCTCAGGTTACCCGCTTTTCGGAGGCGAGGGCGGTCGTCACGGACGGAGTAATTGAAGCCGTACTTTTGGGCAAGCAGACGGACGGGCTCTGAGGCGCCGTCGTCCATGACATGGACCTGGAGCTTGGAAGCGGGCCAGTCAATGTTGACGATGTGCTTGTAAGTGTTCTCGAGGATCTCGACCGGCTCCGAGCAGCAGGGCAAGAAGATGTCGACGGTCGGGGCATTGTCCTCGGTGATTGGAAAGCGCTCAATCAGTTCCAAATGGGCCTTGTAGTCCCAATCCCTTCCGATGATACCGACGGCGTACGAGATAAGAAGGTAGATGCACATGGCACCCGCAAACACGCCATACCAGTAGAATGCCGGAGCGGAGAGCGCAAACAGCCACATACCAGCGCCGAGAGAGAGGAACGAGAAGACGCCGAAGATGTAAAGAAGGAGGCGGTTGGTGTGAACGTAGCTGAGCTTCTCGGTGTCGTTAGGGCAGACAGGGAGGACCAGAGGCGGCTCCTCCTTGGGACAGTAGGTTGCTCGAAAGCGGTTGTAGAGTCGCTTGGGAAACGAAGCACCGGACGAGGCCGGAAGAGCTGTTGTGTGCTTCTCATTCACCTTCTCGGTGTCCGAAACCACGGGCGGGACGTGGCTGGCCTCGACATCCGTGTCAGATGACGGTTGCTGGTGGACTTTCTCGTTTGTGACGGGGACTTCTCTAGCCAAGGGTGAAGACTGTTGACTCTGAGTCAGTTTGATTCGAATCAGGAGCTCGTTTTCCATTGAGAAATATGGAATAGCTTACGATATCGGGTCTGCTCAGGCGGTGGTTGGAGGATTCGGCCCAGCTCGACCTTTGATCTGCGTCATTGGGTGTACGAGAATCGTCGGGCGGTGACGACTGCTGGATGGCATTCTAGGCAAAGTCAGTTCCTGCTTGATTGGCTTCCAGTCAGGTCGTGGAGCTTGGGCATCGCGCGGACGTACGACGGTGAAGGTAGAGTCGTTGGGCGTAGGAGCGACACTGGACTCATTATCAGTGTCGAACGGGTTTGAGGCAAAGGGATTCGCCGGAGGCGCCAGGCCCGAGTCGGGGGAGGTGCCCCGCGGTGTGTATGGACGCGACATTATGTGATTAGAGGCGATGCTTGGAAGAACAACGAGAGAGTCTTCTGCTCGAAGAGCGATAGCGGTAGGTGACGACAACCAGGGAAGACTTCCGCTGGTGGAGTGATGAATGCGCCCGAGGAGATTGGGCTTAGGGCGATGGCTTCACGGTTGATAGACTGCCGTGACAGTTTCGATGTGAGCGAAGGCGGGGCGGGGATGATCGCGAGGTGCGGGCAAAGGTGAAGGACAGCGAATGTTGTCAATGTGAGCAATCTGAGATGCCGAGCCGACCAGGCTATCTGCGAGTATGGAGCGCAGACCGAGACGAGGGATGACTTGGTCAGAGGCAAGCCACACGTGTCGGGCTGGAAGCAAGGGGAATCAAGATAGAGGGAAGACGGGAACGACTGTGTTGATGTTGTCGGTGGTGATGGTGAAATGAAGGTAGCGTCGACCGGGTGGTTGGTGGGCAGGTGCAATGCAATACGGAGGGAAGCCACAGCCACTACGGTATTCACCACCAAACGTACGGATACATGGATACAAAACAGGAAATAAGAGAACTGAAGGCTGGCCAGGGGATTCAAGTATGCGCATGCAAGGTTGCTGACCGCCGTCTAGCCTCGCCCTCCTCATCCTCCTCCTTCTACTTCGTGCCCCCCCCCTCCCCCCTCGTCCTCCTTCTGCAAGGATGAAGACGGTAGACTATTACGGAGCCCCAAGAACTGGTGCGAACTGCTCGAGGGACTCCTTTTTGCAAGTTGATTCGTCCATTCAAAGCCGCGCGAGCGGACATTCCTGACCCTGGCTATGGACATCTCTCAATCCACCTAGGGCCAAGGTATGGGTAAATGGTAAGCTACTTTGCATCGACTACCTAGGAGAAGATCGGACCTTTGGACGATTGCATTGTCGGCTGGCTCCGCGGTTATCACCCGTTACCCACGTTTTAACAGGCCCAGGTCACGCTGTTCGCTTTTTGACATGTTAGTCGCCAAGACGTGGGCGGCCCACGTCTTGGCGACAAGGGCGTAGCTAAACCCGTTTTCAAAAAAGTTCAATAGGTCTAAATGACTAAATTTCTGATTGGCTTAGAAAGGTTTGGTGGGAATACCTAACCTTGGTTTTTTACTTTCGGAGAGAAAGATAAGGAAATAGTTTTTGATAGATCTAAAGTAACGTTGACTGTAAACATATTCCTGATTTCCCTTCAAGGAATACGTAGTTCCTCCCTTGGTACTAAGTAAGGTTAGATAAAGCAGAGTAAAATCAAAGAGGTTTGTTCTTGATATTTGCAGAATCAAATCTTTGCTACCTAAAAGATGTATAGTAATTAATAAAAGGTAAGACTATTGGGTAGTCCTGACAGTCGATAACAGCCGTCGCAATAACCCGGTGCAAAGGGATCAGTGACATCACTGGCCGGGGGGTGAACAGCTGGCGACGTGCTTGCCGTTGTTTTTCTCTGCCTGCTTGCATATCGCTGGGCGACACACAGACCACAGTCGGACCCCACAGAGAGGATAGGGGGCAGGAAAGAAGCAGGACGTGGTTGTTTGTCGGTGTTTGCAATTAGGCAGGTGAGAGCTCGAGTGCCAGAGTCAGAGATAGACGGAATGTACAGGGTGGCTCGAGACAAGATAGGAAAGGACAGGGAAGTGAAGTGAGATATGATTCCTACGCAGTAGGTAGTATTAGGTAGGCCACGCAGTACAGGGAAGGAGAGAAGGAGGAACATCGGGACAAGGCAGACGGGGTCAAAAGATTGGAGGTAAGGTGGGTGTCCCAGACTGCAGGTGCCAGGCTAAGGAAGGAAGCACCCGCTTCCCATATTGCATGCTCTCATCCCGCGAAGCCCGGTAACGGAAAGAGAGAGACAGGTGGGCCGGCAGCGACGCACGTTGCCTGTCCAAGAAGGCAAGCCAGGTTTGCGAGAAACAAGCTGACTGGATCCAGACAAACCATAAACGTGGCGCATGACAACCGGCCAGCGGAAGGAAGGAAAACAACAAGGAAACAGACAAAGAGAGAGAGAGAGAGAGAAAAAAAACCCAGTCAAAGGACTACTGCGTGCTTGCGCGGCTGCTGTAGGTGGGGAAGAGAGGCATGGGATTCCAAGAAACACGAGAGCAGGAGAGCAACATATGGATACAGCGGTACGTACACAGCTGGTAGAATTAGTGTAGGTACGTATCTAGTGTCTCCCAGAGAAAGAGCCGCTTGCAAGCGCAGTGGAAGGAGAGAAAATCCCATCTACGAACCCCACTCCTTCCTCCTTGCTCGAGACAAACTGACCTGGGTAAGAACGGATAGGTAGGTAGTGTATCCGTAAAGAGTAAGAGTGCATCCGAGAGCGTGGACCAGGACGGAGTACGTACCGGCACCGAAAGAGAAGGTACGGAGTAAAGCTCAATGATGAGAGCAGGGATGGCGGCAGGCTCTAGCCAGGGTGACAGAGTACAGCTGGTCTGGCCCCGTCATTTGCCAGTCATGTTTCTTGGAGGACTCTTGGAAGTCTACGGATACGAAGCGCGTCTCAACGTTTTCGTCCCTTTGTCGAAATCAATTTTCTGACACCAAACACCCCACCATTCCTCTCTTTGTTCTCTCTTTCTGTCTGCCTATCCGGAGTATTTCCATGTCGCCAACGGCGGGCACCGACTGACTCGGACGTCCGTGCGTGCCCTGGCCTTCTGGAAGCCGGCCAACACCGCGACTGACTCAGACGATGCCCACGAACCGCCGCCAGCATACATGGCGAACCGTCGCTGCACGGCCACGCAAGACGACGTTTGATGATGCGTCCTGTCTTACTCCAAGATGTACGAGTGGCTTGGGTACCGGTAGGTAGGCAGTCACTAGTTCGCGGGACCGCAAAGCCACAGGCAGAAAAAAAAAAGAAGAAAAAAAAGAAAGAAACTGCCAGGCGGGCTTGAAGATGATCGCAAACCCGCCCGCGCCTCCAGCCACCGCTCCATTCCGAATTAGCCCGCAAACTATGGCAATAAGCGTAAAATTCGAAAGCCTCCACCCGATAGCCTAATTCGACATGCCTGGTCGCCTAGCGCGTGCGGCTCCCTCTACTTCGCACACCCCGTTCGTTTGTTCGGTCACAGACCGACCGTTTCTTGCTCTTTCGGCCTCTGTGGGGGGAGGGGTTCACCTGTTTGCTTTGGTGCCCATTATCTTTGGGAGGTGGGGGGTTTCCGGACGCTGGTTCTGCTGCCGTTTGTCGTTTTCTGCCGCCGCCGCCAACGGTGACGAATCGTTGTCTTACAACTGCCGTTGGTAATATCCTTGGCATCAGCCCCAGTGACGCATTCCCACGCATCGGTCTTCGGACGCGGACTTCTTGGTCAATGGCAACGCAACGACTCAAGTTGGCGCAGAGCTGTGGGTTTACATCCCGCCGCGAATGCATCTTTTGCAACGGTGCATCGAGCTCTCGAGTATCCATAGATGGACGATAATCCTATCCATATCCGGACGTCATCTCCGCACACATTCGGAGGCTGGACCAACAGGAACGGGTTCCTTGCAATCCCACCACGACTGGCCGATATCGATTTTTTTTTTCTCCTTTCCCGTTCCACATTCTCCCTCCTCCTCTGCAATCGAATTCGCGATTCCCACCCGTCGCGTCGATCCTGTCGCTCAAATGCCGAGACGAGCCAAACCCAAGTGCAGCTAGCAGCAGAAGCAGAGGCGGCTGGACCACCTTCTGCCTCGTGTCTGCCTGCCCACCCGCACGCTATCGCAACCTCATCCCATCGACTTACACCGAAATGGTATGTTGAACCCGCGTTCCACTCTGCCAGTCGCGGTCGACGCCGGCTCAATGGCGCAACAGGAGACCCAATCACTCACAGTGGGCGAGCCAGCAAGACGACGCAAAATCCAAAGCTGGCCTCTTCATCTCGGTTCGCATCTCGACTCCCGGCATCACAGCAGAGGCTTTAGCATCACCCCCACTGCGTCTCGGGCCTTTCCCCCCGACCGTCCAACTGGCGGCCGTTGCGAAGCCGCCCGCTTGTCTTGGCATCCCATTCGGCATGGCGGCACACGCGCCAAGGCGCTAAACACGAGGGAGATAAAGCACCTCGTTCTTTCAGGTGGAATCTTTGCTGCTCTGCCGCTGCAAACGTCAAGGATCCAAAACTCCTATTGCATGGCCGCATCCCATACGGATACCATTCCGTGATAGTAGGAAAAAGGAGGAGCAAGTGCCCGGACTGAGGCCCTTTGTCGTTCGAGGCGGGTCCTGATGACGACACGACGTCTTGGACGAACTTCCTCCGATCCGCTTTGTTTGAATTACTTTCCGACGGCGGTGGAGGCCACTGACTTGGCTCTTGGTTGGCCTCCCTCCTTCTGCGATCCCGCTCCGCCCACCCCGCTCGCCCGTCCCAGCCTCCCTTTCCGGACTGTAAGTACCACCTCTCCGCCAAGACCGTGCACACCACCACAGTGGTTCTGTGAGCATGAGATGTGCAGGCTTCCCGGGACCTGAACCTTCACGAGCTTACGGCCTGCGCCCTGCTCGCCACACAACCACCGTAACCACCGTTTATACAGATGATATTGTCAGACGCGGGCGGCTGGCCACTGGCCTCGGCGGACCAATGGGAAGAGAGAAGACGCCCGCCGCACACGAACATGAAAGGACCTCTGCAATGCCTGCGACGTTCCTTGTCAGGACCAGACCAGACCAGAGCCAAGTGCTTACATCTGACCGCGTGCATGCCCGTATCGGACAGGACCCCATCACGCCCGTTGACGTGATGTGGTGTTGAAAGTCTCCCACCACCCGCCGCCGCTGCTGCTGCTGCCATGTTTCTCACCATCTTCATGGTGGCCAAGGCAGGGAAGACCTTCCCTTCCCACCCCGCCCACCCCCGGCCATTCGAGGTTTTTCGCAAGGCTGGTAATACGACCCATGGCCATGGGTGACCCGTCGACGTCATACACAGACGGAGACGCGTGCGACCAACAGGAGAAAGGCGCGAGTCCTCATCCCACTCCATCAGGTGCGCGTACGCCCTCCAGCTCTGAGATAGAACCCTGCCCCCGCGGTCCGTGATGTGTTGTGTGCATCGTGTGTAAGTCGACAGCGTGTCGCGCCTCAATGAGACCAATATCACAGTGGGGGGGGGATAGAGACCTTTTCACCAAGGGCAAGACCACTGGCAATGGCGACAGTCGTGGTGTTGGTATAGAGGGGCAGCTTAGAGTAGCCCCCCCCTCTGGTCTATTCATGAATTACAGCGGTTGCCGGAGGACACCCCGCCCTTTTCTACCCATCTAAAGCCTCATTAATCCTATCGTACCGTGCCACGCGCTTTCTCTTGTGGACCTCCGGCAGCATGGCTGATTGTGCCACCAAGCGCCCTAAAGACAGAACATGGACATGTTCATGAGGAGCAGCGAAAGGAACAGCCACGACGAGAGGCCGAATTTTCTCGCCGCGTTCTCGCCATTGCCGCTGCCGCTGCCATCGGCGTTCAGCTCCATGCTAAAATGCGCGGCGCTGAACGTGACGTTCTCGAGGGAGTGCCACGCCTCGGAGCCGAACTCGACCAGGCCGAGCCACGACTCGTTGTCGATCTCGCCGGAGTCGAGGACGTACTTGAGAAGCGGGGTGATGTCCTCGTTGAACTGGTTGACGTCGGATCCGTCGCGCGTGACCCAGGTGAAGACCTTTTGTTCGCGTCCGTTGGTGTCGTACCAGAGAGAACTGTCGGGCGTTAGCACGAAATGTATGTATGCTAGAATGGGAGGGATCACGATACGAGCCTCCGATCCCCCAGCGGGGACGGTGGCCGCCGGGTACGACACAGGGGGGTGAGTGGTTTCGTCACTCACAATTCAGTAGAGCCGAGGGTGATGTTGGTTAAGATGGAGTCGCCCATCAAGGGGTACGGATTCCCGACCTTGCCGAGCCAGATCATGATCTCGGCCTCGGCGTCGATGGGGTTGTAGGTCCTCGACTTGTTCCTGTCGACGAAGAAGTCCCAGGCGGCGTTGGATACGACGCCGTCGAGCCCGCCCTTGTTCTCGGTCCAGGCGGTAGCGGAGAAGTCGCGGGGCGGGTCGCTCTCGGGGTTCCCCTTGCGCATGGTCCATTCCACGGCGAGGCGCATCGACTCGATGGCGCTCAGCTGGACCGGCAGCTTGGTCGAGCTGAAGCGCACGTGGGGGAACGAGTGGACACTGTTCTTGTCCTCCTCCCAGTTCCAGTTGGCGTCAAACGCCGGTGTCGACTCGTCGACCTGTAGACGTGGAGAAGCATGGCATCAGCAAGTGGTTGGGCAACGGCAAACATCAAAGGGAGTCTTTGCTAGGGAGGATGGGATAGGTGTCGTGGGTCGGGGGCATCCGGAAACGGAGGCGGGGGGGGACGGAGGCCCGGCGCAGAGCGCAGAACAGCGGGTGATATCAGACATCCGGCCGGAAGGGGGGGCGGATTTTAGATGATAGAAGGCACGAGAAGAGATGCAGAGTGATGGAGGGGTGGAATCAGAGGTAGCTTCGCATGCGAAAGCACGTCAAGTGGCATCACTTACAAAGACACAGGATGCGCCATCACCAACGGGGTTCCAGGCGTTGGACTGGACTATAAGTTTATCGAATCAGCTTCTGTACCAAAAGGCACGAAGAAGAGGCGGGCCCCAACATTCCAACGATGCTCGAATCGCGGGTGGAACATGGGGACGCGGAGGGGGCAGCACTTACAGATAAAGTCTGTGTCTTTGCTGGTGTACTTGCTCTCCTTGCCGCATATAGTCGCGACGTAGTCGGCGGTCGCGTGACGAACGGCAGCGAAACCGGCAGTCAGGAGGAGAGTGTTTCTCATGTTTAAGGTTTTTTTTGCAGCGGGCCGATTGAGCGTTTAAGCGGACGTCGTGTGCGAGAGAGAATCGTGGTCCGTAAAAGACAAACGAGGAACCCGGGTGAAGGGACGGAAAAGACGAGATGCAAATGCGGCAGACGGAGGCGATGACGCAGGCGATGAAGGATGCGGGCCCTCGATGAGAGGATGTATACGGAGTATCAGTCCTAGGCAGGTACGTAGGTACGTAGGACTATGATGTGCGTGCTCCAGTACTGCGGGAAGGAAGTCGGGGCAGAAGCAACGTCCTTGGGGAAGGAAGAGGTGACGATGGGCCGAAATCCAGACCGTCACTTCTCGCTTGATTGGAAGTACTCCGTACAGCGAGCCGGGATGAGAAAGGGCCAAATCACCGCTCGCCCCTGCCTGCCTTAACTTGCTTACTATGCCCGACCCCAGAGGTAGAAAGAAGGCTGGGCAGGAAGGACGAGACCCCCGTGCTGGTGCTGGCAGGAAGGAGCAGGTGTAGATGGTGGCGCCGGCGGTGGTGGTGCGGTGGTGGTGGTTGCCCTTTGCACCTTGTCACCTCTCGCACATGGAAAGCACTCACCCAAGGTGCCTCCTTCACCACCTTGGACGAGTCCCACGAGCGAGGAAAGTGCGGACCACTGGTAGTCGCGTCTACCACGGACGTGGAAAGCAAGACGCACGCATTGCGGCGCTATTTCTGTGTGTTCCAAGGCGGACGGACGAGTGGCACGTCGGGAGAACCGGTTTCTGCTGCAAAGGCTGGGCGAGCGTTTGGTGGTTCTTTTGCTCGAGTACCACCAACGCTAGCCGTAGAAAGACAGCAGGTCTAGAAGCGAGATAACTAGCGCGCAGCGCGAGGCAGCCAATGGGGAGGGGAAAAGATACAGGGGAAATGGGAGCAAAATGAGAAAATGGTGCTGCCGAACCATGGAATACGCAGAATTCCATGCTGCTACTGTTGCTGCGTTGGCGTCAGCCCCCCCGCCCAATGACGAAGTCCTCTCAGCCATTCATTCATTCGCGAATAGTATTGTATGTACGGAGTACGAATGTACCTACGTCTAATGTATGGACCATGTATGTGCACGCCTCGGTCTCTTGGAACATTCTCATCGGCCGGCTTCCCCATTGACCAACCATTCAACGAGAAAATGGAGAAGATGCAAGCTCCGGGCTTGGGTTGCTGCGGCCAAGTACGGCCGGCGAGAAGAAGCACAAGAAGAATTTGAACACTAGATCTAGGCTGCGGGAATGCGCCTACGCCTTTTGGCGGCAACAGCTGTTTGTGGGAATCAATCGTGGTTGGCGGCATCACGGACAGACCTGAATCTCAACTGAGTTGAGTCTCACTCACCCCTCAACTCACCTCAACCACACTCTCTCACTCTCATCAACATCTGTCTCACTTACCTACCCCCCTCCCTCCGTCACCCTCCAACCCGGGCGCCAGGATTGATTGAAGTTTAACCATAAAACAAGCCCATGACAGCCCTTGGCCCAGCCCTGCGTGGCAGGGAACCGACCTGTTCGAGCTACTTTTTCAGCCGCCCTCGCAGTGGCCCGAGTCAGGTCACAACCCTCGCCCAGAACACAAACATTCATACGCCCAAAGCTCACGCGACCTGCTCGCATCTCGCGAGGCCGTAAACGTGCCCAACACAGCATGGCGATGGCACATGTGAGGGCTCTGGGAGGAGAATTGGGGCGCAAGGCACCATCTAGTTTACGTTGTTTAATGTGTGAACCTGTACCTGCTCCCCTTTGCACTGCAGTACATAACCACCACGTCGTCCCCTCCCCCCTCCCCTCCTAAGGACTGTCTTTTCGTCAAGCCATTTTCTTCTTGACCAAGTAGCTCGCTCAGCAGGGCGGTGTGGGGGGAAAGCGAACCACCTCGATCGTTCGCGTCGGGGGACCAGACCCTCACGCCGGTCCTCCTCCTCACGACCCACGGCCCAGACGACGAACCGGCCGCATCGGACAACTTGACAATGCCGATTCTGTTACCTATCCTTGGTTCGACTCGACCCATCGAGAAAGAAGAAGAAGAAGAAAAGTTGCTGGTGGGAGCGCGGCGCCGTTTTCCTCGTCCGAACCCCCCTCCAGTCCCAAGCCGCACACCGACGGAACCAAGAACCAGACTCCAAGACTTTTTGTCAATTTTGCTGGCAACCGCGCGACCTGGCGACGAAGAAAGGGGATGAATTCTCTGGGCATTGTGCCGCCGCATCCGTCCGTGCAACCCTGCCAGAGATTTCGCTTGGGTTTGGGAACGGGGGGGGGGGGGGGGGGGGGGAGGGGCAGTACATCAAGCCCGCGATTTGACGTGACTCGAGATTAGACGGTACGACTAGCGGCCGGCCAGACGGAATAATGAATAGCCAGGTAACGAAGGGCAGGAAGCCACTGGGCGGAACGGGGGGGGGGGGATGACGGCCGACAACGACAACGACGACGACGATTACAACGGCAATGAGCCACCGTCTCAGACGATCTCGTTCCGGGGTATACGCGTACATAGTACGAGGCTGGCGAAGCAGGAGAGGGAAACGGACTCCAGACTCCATACTCCAGAATCTGCCACGACCGGGGTTCGTCGCCTCTTCTCGAATCCCAGGGCTGTGTGTTACACCCCCACCGTCCCATGGCCCACCTCGCCGAGCCCGTAATAAACGAGTCGTCGTCAGCAGTGACAGGGGAGAAGGCTCGGCAGGGCGGAGGTGGGAGACTGCAGGTTCTCCGCTCATCGTGCCAACTTGGCGGTTCGCCGCACCACCATTGGAACCATTAGGGGGAATTGCGGGAGAGTCAGGCATGTCAAAGAACCCCCATCCGCTGTCTGCATGGTGTGTGTGTTTGTGCGTGTGCTTGCCCAAACACTAATTACTGCTCGGACGGAACGGTGTGATACTGTGCCAAATACGGGGTATACTGAGCTAAACCCGGGACATTAGCAGCGCAGAGAGCAGCAGCAGCAGCAGCAGCGGCAGCAGCAATAGCAACACTCCCTTCCACCGTGAGTGTTGCACACCTCTCACACGTGTCTGGGTTTGATGTACCTTGGCCGCTAGTTCACCAGCCAGAATTCTTGCCAGGGAGGGGGGGGGCACCTCTCTCTGACTTGCACATCTGTCTCTGTTTTCTCTTGGCAGTGACTTACCGCTGTATTACATCTCGTCCCCCGCGGGGAGACCGTGGACTCCAAGCGGTCCAGTGAGCCGAGCCGAGCAGGCCACCAAGGCCGGCGACGACGGCGGACTTTACCTGTTTCTCGCAGCAAACACGAGTTGTACGCTGTACGTATAACGGGCTGGAGGGTTGCACCGACGCCAAGGTTCGCGCTCTGAAGGGGGCTCTGTGCGGCGACGGCGGCAGCAGCAGCAGCAGCAGCAGCAGCAACGTTGGATCCCGCCTGCATACCGATACCGATACCTTGCACACCTTATCGATCTGACGTGTCTTGGGTTTCCCCCGATTGGACTGCACGTGCACTTTTCACTTCAGCACATCGAAACGGAGGGCACACAGAAAGATGGAGAGGAGGAGGGGGGGGGGGGGGGGGGGGGGGGCGGGCACCGGTTTCACCCTCTTGTGACGGAGGTTCCTCGCACGTAGCCCTGTATGCGTGTGGCCTCATTGGCGTCCGGCCCTGCGTTGTGTCTCGCAGTTTTTGACTCTCACGGTTACCGTCCTGCTTTCTCGACTCCCGGCCACGCTGCCATCCGTCCCCTTGCGGCGGCTGTCTCTCTCGTCCGAGACTCAGCCGACACTCAGCCGACAAACAAGGTGAAGACCCCAGGTCAGACACTGTGGCGTTATCCCGGGCGCGGCAGTTGTTCAACGGAGAGACTTGAGCGGGAGGAGGTCTCGCCAGTGTAGTCAGCTACCGTTGTGGACGTTTGGTCGTGCCTGAAGATGACGGCTTTTTACTTTATTTCTATCTTTTTTTATCTTTTCCCCCTGGCCTATCTACCTGGCCCCCCAATGCATCAACGGGGGGTGGGTACAAAGACGGAACTTTGCCACCGCACTATTGCCGGCCGTTTTCTTGAATCGCGAGTCGCGCTGGACTGAGGTGGTGATACTTGTCTTTGCCCCTCGACATGTCTGGTTTCCTCGCGGACCATTGGATGACTGCATATTGCTGCTGAGCGGATGGAGGCGAGGTGATCTGCACCAGGCAACTAACGAAAAAGAAGAAAAAAACTACAAGTCGTACTCGTTGCCGGGAACGGGGCAGCCTTCGCGGCCGGTCCGGTGCGTTTCTGCGATATACGGTCCCGCGGTCTGTGCAACCACGCTCGAAGTAAAGGTTCAACGTCGGCGCGTTCGCTTGCTGCTGGCGTCGGAGAAATTCCATGACCCATCGCACTGACGACCGTAAGTCGTGTGCCAGTCAATGGCTGTAGTGTCTTTGGACGGCCCAGAATCAGTTTTTGGAGGCGAGCCGAGGCACGCCCGACACCGGGCAGGGCCGGGACGACTCCGGATGACGATGCTGGCCTGGGCCGCATGGTGTAAAACAAACATGTGTACGTAGTATTACTTGGTACAACAGAGAGGGGAGAGGAGGGGCGGATGATGGCGATCAGCACGGTGGTGTCGAACCCAGTCCACAACCTTAATCTTGAGGCGAAGAAGCAAGCTCATCTAGGTACAGCGAGGCATGCATGGGCAATTTTCCCTTGCCCCCCCCTCCCCCCCCCCGTCGTGAGGCAGAGAGGAGTGGATATGGGTGGCCCTGCGGACCTGGGCTCGCTCTCTGCGGTCCACCGTGTTGGTCGATGACGAAGACATTATTTCGAAATATGGTTGAGGCATAATGCGCGGGAAGGGCCCCCGTCATCTGTCACCCACCGGTTCCAAGTTCGTCAGTAAACCATTACTCACAGGCTCGTGGGAGAAAAGAAGGGAAGGGGGGGCGCCGCCTTCGAGTCTCGACATCATCGCAGCAGGGACAGTATCTTGCCTACTGTAATCTCGGCCGCGGCCAACAACGGCTCCCACCAGGTGGAGCACGTCCAATTAGCCATCCGGGCTCGCAGGACCATACAAGGGGGAAAGAAGGGGGGCTCGTGGATTTCTCGATGCAGCTTAGGGGGACCCATCGTCCAAGGAAGTGGAGGAGTGATGGGCAACGGGATTTCCTGACAGAGAAGGACAATTGTAAAACTAGCTGCCTGCTGAAGACATGCAGCACGGCAGCCCGAAATCATCAGGAAGCACCTCTGGTCCTCCCGGTTGCTGCTCGGGTCTCGACGCATCGGGGCACCGGTAGAGAGAACCAAGAATGCCAAGAGTCCCAGACCTAGAATTGAGGCACCAGTCCAAGAGATGATGTCACCAATGAGGCTAAGACAGATATAGGTCCCTTGCTGCTTTTCTGCCGCGCGAGAGCGCCATGCCATGCCATGCCATGCGGCGCCGTGCTGATGTACCGTAGTACAGATAGATGCACTAGCTTGGCGTCGGCCGGTAGTGAGTTTCCGCTTCTGTCCTCCCGGCAGGGAATGACTGGCGGGCAGCAACAGGCTAAAGTAACGGTGAGACTGGCTGCTTGGGCGGTTACAAACGGACGCGCACACACCGTTGAGGCGGGAGCTGGACAAAGGGGCACGTGGAAAGCGAACGGGAGAAGGAGAGTCTTTTCTTCGCCTGCCAAGCAACCTGATCATGTGGATGAAGCCATAGACTGACACTGAAAGCCGCCTCACTCTGTCTCTGTTTGCGAGCCGAGTTTCATTTGGTTTGTTTTGTGCCAAAGTACGCACTCATATCGCCTCCAATCCCCTAATCTCCAACCTAGTAGCCCACCGATGGGCTGGCTGACTGGCGAAGGACGGCAATGTCGGGAAAATGGGCTCTTGGGCGGTACTACTTTGGGGGGGAGGGATGGAACCCGCCCTACGCCAGTCCGTGATTTCAGCGCGAATTGGCATTCTCGCTACATGCCGAACCGGTGATGGGTCCACGTAATGAGATGCACATCGTTGATCGATAGTCAGGCAGAGGCGCCGCCGGACCACATTACTCTGACACAGCGGAACCACTCTCTCTGGCCGGCCTGCAAGCATCTAGTGATCGAGAGCGCGTCCCGCTTAATGCGACTCTCCTGTCCATCACCAGCGCTCAGGACGACAGCCTTCCCCGGGAGGAAAGGATCGGAGGGGAATGGAAATGGACCTGGACATGGAGATGGGAGAAGGGGGTGGGGGGCACCCATACAAGGGATGAGGGTTCAGGGACCGGGCCAAGGCCTTGCCGTGCGCATGTCCTACACTCCGGTCCTCGACATCCATCTCAGACGGACAGGCATCCCCCCCCCCCATCTCGCGCCATCCCATCATCGTTGAATCGTAATTAACTCTGCAACGGTCCGGCTGCAACGGCGCACGACGGGGTGGCACCTGGCCAAGCGTGAGTGTCGTGTCGTGTTGTGTCGTGCTTGTAGAGAGTTTGGGTACCCGAAAGCGGAAAAGTAGAAGAGGTGGCCAACAAACCTCAACCAACGCACAACGTTCTTTGTTCCCTCTTGATTCTAATTCTGACCTGTCATCCAGCCATCCATCCATTCCTCTCATCCCGTGTCCTGTCCGAAGTACCTACTTCCGCCATGGGGGCTGCGAGGTAACAAGAGTTCGCCTCGGCGGCTTTACCGAACGCCAAGCCTCGAGCGGCGGGAACATAGCCGTAGGGGAAAAAAAACGGAAGGAAAAAAAATAAGACAAGGCCAAGACGTCTCTTTCAGAGGCGAAAATGGCCTAGAGATTGGCGCCCGCCCACCGCGGGTGGACAATTTCCTCCCTCCCTCCCTCCCTCTCCGTCGTCTGCTGCCCCGTACGCTCCGCCGGCTGTATTTGTGGCTGCATGTGTTGTATTCCGCATTGGATATTAACTACGAGTTCGTTTGTCTGTTTTCTTGGCAATGCAAGGGAAAGCCATGGACACCTCCATGTTTGATCTCTCGAGACGACCACTGAGCTGTGAGGCTCGAATGCGTACCGTTTATCATTGCCCCCCCTCCCCCCCATCGATATGTTCCATGGGCGCGACTTTGCTACCTATTCCAGCAAGCCGGTTACACACACGACCATGAGCCAGGCTCCGGTCCTGGTTTCGCTCCCGAACGCTGCTGGGATCTGCTACCGAGCACACCGTCACCTTCCCGATCCCTGCCACTCCTGCTCGCACTCTGTCTCTCTGTGTCCCTTCTCTCTCGCTGGCACTCGTGCGGGTGGCGCCTACTATGTACATACGTAGCAGTCGAATATGCATGTTCTAGTATCCGTACAGAGTACCTACCTACCTACCCACCCGACCTAGGTAGGTAGAGTACCTGACAGGGCAGGGCAGCAAGTATCAAGTATCTTTGGCATCTGGGACGGGAATTGGTCTTCCCTCCCCCCCTGGTTCTTCTTTCCTGGAGCAAGGATATGATTGATGCCACTGACCTTGGCTACCTATAGGCCTAGGTAGGTATTCCCCCCTCTGTGTCGACGCCTTGCGCCCGCCCGTCCTACAGTGACTAAGCAAACGTTCAGCCAAATCGCCCAACAGGAGACCAAAACCTGGCGTCGTTAACCGTTAGTTCAATAGTAAGTTTATACAGAAAAAGTCAGATAAAGCATGGTTGATGCCAATTTCAACAGAAGAAACACTGCTTCGCATATGCCAGTAGCTGGCGTACGCTATAACCCTCAACTTCAACAGATGCCATCAGTGTGATACTGTCAGCTTCGGTATCGTAACTCTATTTTTATATGACCGTAGCAAACTTGTACAGTGAGTGAGCTAGGGGTAATGTACAGTAATTCGGCTGAATTTTGACATCCCCACTGTATCCCCATCCAGTCCGCATGCCCATCACCTTCTCCATCCCATCCAACCATCCCATCATGCCGTCAAGGGCCCCCCTTTCCCACAGTCCAGTTGTGTGGTCTGGTCCACAACCCACAATCTACAGCCCACACACAGTCCACAACTCTTGGACGGAACCGTCGAAGCATCGGGGAAGGAGGGTCAAGAGAGAGAAAGCCAAGACATTGGAGGATATATCAAGAAAGAGCCCCCCCCCCCACCCCTGGTGCTGGACCGACCCGTCGTCTCTCCCACTCGAAGCCGTTTGTCTGTCCGTTACCGTCATCGTCATCGTTGCTATTGGCAGTCATCGTTCGTTGCTACTAGCAGTCATCGTTCGTTGCTATTAGCAGTCATCGTTCGTTGGAAACTGATCAGCATCCAAGTTTGGACAGCCACCGCGGCCTAAGTACCTCGGCGATCTCTCTGCCTCCCCTCCTCCTCCTATTGCGCTTCCAATCTCTCCTAGTCCCTGTCCGTCCCTCAAGGACGACTCATCGCAACTGGGTTGACACTTGACAGACAACCTCTTACAAAACCGCCGCCAACCCCATTGGGAATCCGGTTTGACCGTCGGTGAAACCGTCCAATCCCACCTTTACTTCCCACCCACGTACGCCGCCGTACTACGTTTACGTCGACGCCGTCACCCGCGCGAACGTATCCGATCCCGCCCGCTGTGCTTTTCAACCACCCCCCCCTCCTTTTCCCAAAAAGGGTGGTCCCAACTCGACATTGTCTTGTGTCTGTCACTCCTCCACACACCAGAGTGTCGACATCCGCGGAAGAAGAAACGAGAAGGAAGCAGAATCTGAATCTGCCAAGCAACGCAAGGGAACTCAGCTTCTGACTTTGGAAACACTCATTCGAGATTATCGGTCCCTTGTTTCTGTTTCCCTCCAACACCTTTCAGTATCGTATGCGCTGTCAGCTGTCAGTCGCTGCACTCCACGCCAACAACCAACAACACCGACGTCCACAGCCATTCCCTCTGCTCTATTTATCTAGATCGGAACCCTCTTCCCCTTTTCTCGTACCCGGGCCCTTTATTTCCCAAACACGACTCGTAACCCCTCGGGACCGTTTCCGTTGCCTCGGGAAATCTTTGAATTGAATACCCGACCGTCATCCCAGCTACCCGCTGATCGTCGCTTTTACCAGCCGGGACCTCGCCTCGTTCGTGATTCACACCTCCTCATCAGCTCTGTTGGCCAACGGAGCACATTTTCAATGGCTGCAAACCTCGCGCGCGTGCACTTCGTCACAACAGACACTACATCGACTGCTGGCAGTATGGTCTCTCAGTCCCCCGCCCTCAGCGCCGCGCACTCGGACGCCGGCTCCAGCAGTGGCACTCCGAACTCGTCTCCTCCCGCCTCCAGACCTCGCAGCCCCGAGTTGAAGCATGAGACGGTCTCAGACGCCTCGGATCTTGAGCCTCTTGAGCCGATAAAGGTCCAGAACGTATGCTTCGTCGGTGCCGGCTTTGTTGGTGAGCGGCCCTCAGCTTCAAGCCCTCGTCATGCTCATTACCCGATGCATGCTCTATAAGCCTGAACGATGAGCTGACCATGATATATAGGTGGCCCAACTGCCGCTTTGATCGCATTGCATAACCCCGGCCTTACCGTCAACGTTGTTGACCTCAACGCTGAGCGCATCGCAGCATGGAACTCTCCTCACCTGCCCATCCACGAGGCCGGTCTGCCCAAGATTGTGCGGATCGCCCGTGATGGTACCAATGAGACGACCGCCTTTCTCCCCTCTGCCGGGAAGGCGGTAAAGCTTGAACCCCGCAAGCCTAATCTTACCTTCACCACCGACGTCGAACGTTGCATCAACGAGGCCGACATCGTTCTCATCTGCGTGAACACTCCCACCAAGACTTACGGCCTCGGTGCTGGCTACACTGCCGACCTTAGTGCGCTCGAGGGAGCATCCGAGACCGTGGCCAAGTTCGCCAAGCCTGGCGCTGTCATTGTTGAGAAGAGCACCGTCCCTACGGGCACTGCCCGCATGATCCGCGAGATTGTAAGTTTTTTGATTCCGCATATACCTATGCGCTCGCCGCGTCCAGGCGCCTGAGCACTTGGTCGTGAAAAATGCTAACTTCTTGATAGATGGCCCAATACCAGCCCGACGCCGAGTTCGAGATTGTCTCCAATCCCGAGTTCCTTGCCGAGGGAACCGCCGTACGCGATCTCATGCACCCGGACCGTATCCTCATCGGTAGCTCCACCACCCCCGCCGGTGTCCGTGCCGCCAACGCCCTGAAGAGTGTGTACGCCGCCTGGGTTCCCGAGTCAAAGATCTTGACCGTCAACACTTGGTCGAGCGAGCTCACCAAGCTCGTTGCCAATGCCATGCTTGCCCAGCGCATCAGCAGCATCAACAGCATCAGTGCTCTCTGTGAGGAGCTGGGCGCAGATGTCCAGGAGATCAGCCAGGGTATTGGTGCCGATTCTCGTCTGGGCAAGAAGTTCCTCCACGCGGGTGTTGGTTTCGGCGGTTCTTGCTTCGAGAAGGACATCCTCAACCTCGCCTACATGGCGCGGACTCTCCACTTGGACACTGTCGCCGACTACTGGATGGGTGTCCTCGACATCAACAAGTACCAGCGCGAGCGCTTCGCTCAGAAGGTTCACCGCGCTCTGAACGGCAACCTGCGCCGCAAGAAGGTGGCCATTCTCGGTTTCGCGTTCAAGGAGAACACCAACGACACCCGCAACAGTATCGCCGTGCACATCATCAACGAGCTCGCCCACGAAATGCCCAACGAGATTGCCATCTTCGACCCCGGCTGTGACCCCGTGGAGGTGATGAACGAGGTCCGCCAGTCCATTAGCGACGAGCGTGTTGTCGAGCGCGTCAAGGTCCACGCAACCTGGCGTGAGACTGTCCAGGAGTCGAGTGCTATCTGCATCCTTACTCCCTGGTACCACTTCCGCTACCCCAAGCAGGCCCAGACCACCGCTCGGCGATCATCCGTCTGGTCTAGCCCCGAGGCCTCCCGGGAAGAGGCCAACGCCTTCATCAAGGAGTCATTGTCCGAGATGGACATTATCGAGCTTGAGAAGTTCGTGTCCCGCACCAGCGCCTCCACGCCGACGGACCCCTTGAAGCGTATGAAGCCCGAATCTGAGTGCCAGGAAGGCTGCAACGGTTGCAATTTCGATGCGGCGAACGAGGATCTCGGCGACCCCGTCGACTGGGAGTGGGCGGCCTCCGTCATGAAGCGCCCTCGACTGGTGCTCGATGGGCGCAATGTCGTCTCTGCCCCCGAACTTGAGAAGCTCGGCTTCCAAGTACAGGGCATCGGCAAGGGCCTAGTCATCTGAGAGGCTTTACTTGGCTTCCCACCACCCTCACCTTCTAAGAAGGCGGTGGATGAGCGAGACTACACGAAGGTCTGCATTTTATTTCGGGCATGGATGACGGCTGAACGTACATTAGACGAGGGAACTTCAGCTGCATAGTAAGGCGTTCTGGTGAACAAGGGTATAAGGCGGCGCATCATAATTGCTTGTCTTTGGATCACCGTTTTGGATCCTCAGATCTTCTATCATTATTCATTCTACCAACAAGCTTCGGAGGAGACTAGAGGTTTTAGTTCAGATCCGTGGTTGACTTTTCAATTTGCCTCGGAGGCAGCAAGAAGAGAGAGAAGCCCTCTGCTGACCCTGAGATAAATATACCCATTTTTTATTGGTTCAAAGACACTTGATGCGGTACAACACGCAAGTATGGTAATTCCAAACGATTTTGACACCGAACAAACGTTGTATACGATACCTAGTGAATTGGCCCTGTCACTGTCTAGCAGAGACTTGTGCAAGTTGATAGCTCAGTCCGAACACCGATCCCGATTCGGTGCCGGTTCCGCTAGCACACTCTCAAACGAAGCCATTGCACTAACCCAGCATGTCGCGAGGTGATTGCGCGTCCACCCAGGGATTGCTAGGACTCTCGGTTGGAAGTATGATTATGGCGAGCGCTGGATTTGCCCGCGCCTCTTAATTCATGGATACTCGCTTTCCGCATGCTTATCTGTGCATTTGGTGATCGGGACTTGGAGAGATAGACACAGGCTGTGGGCAATCACGCACGCAGTGGATTTCGATGGACGCTAGGGGCAAAAAAATGCCACACTTACTACTGACTCGCAAACGTGAGGCCCGCGGATCGGAAGTTGATCGGGACGCTTCGATGGTTGTCTGGGGGCCATGTTCAATGCTGATGCCCCTCGCCGGGGCAAAGTAAAACAAAACATATTACCTCGGAAAACCCCCCGGATTCGTTCAGGATATAATACTGCGGAGTAGTGGCAATTGGATGCTTAATGTTAGTGATCAACCGGACCTCTCGAGCGGATTCCCTGTTAGCGGGACCCTGGGGGGGCGTAAAGAAGGGGACATGTAATTAAAGGATCGGAGCTCTGGAGGCGTACCGGCAGCACATAGATTACACGCTCCATGCAGCATTTGACCATAACCGTATCCTGCTGCGTAAACATTTGACGTGGATTCGAGAAACGGCTTTCCGATAAACTGGGGGTATACCAGGGAGGCACCTATTGTGTATTTCGCAGGTTTGACCTGCCAGCACGTAGACTTCGTCAAGGAGCCTGGGACACCCCCGCGAGAATAACAGGATGCGGTGCGCGTATGCCTTAGCTCTTGTCCCGAGAAGGGAAGGGGTACTGCGGATCCGGGTGTCATTATATCTTGCCCAGTGGCGCAGACCGGATGGACCGGAGGGCTTGCGGCTGCGGACGCGTACGCGTACGCCTCCGGGAGTCCGGCACGGTGACGCCAGGGGAGGTGGGGGGAGGTGCCAATAAGGGGGCTGACCTATCCCGCGAAAAGTAGCGTCCGACGACTCAGATGGATGATCCGAGATACCCAAAAACGTGTGGTAATAGGCATTGGGTCACTGTTCGATCCGTTGATGTGAATCTTCGTGTGACCGTTGTCTGCGTTAGGATCCGTTATACGGTGTCTTTATTTATTGTACAAAACGATTGCGCAACCCTCTTTGCATGTCCCGAGATCCAGCTCTGTGGCGGGACAACTTTGTAACGATGACCAGACAATAACGATCATTTTTTGCTGTCGATCTATTTTACTGGGAGCCACGGCATACCAAGAATGGGACTTGTTAGGAAGCATGTCGCGCTTATCATTGTCAGAGCAGGTCTGTCTCATGATGACTGCATTCAATAATATTCCCGTCCATTCTATGGACTCAGCACTCCAGCGCTGTAGGGGGTGGACCAATGAATCCTGCTTTTCTCAAGGTCTCCTCGTCCTCGCCGGCATCGACTCTGCGCAACAGGTCTTCGGGGTCGAATTTGACAAGCTTGACTTTCGTGGGATCCAGGCCCTTCATGTGTTTGAATACGTCCTCCGGGTTGTCGTAAGCCTCGATCATCGCCTCAACATGATTGCCATCGGGGTCCTTGTAGTACAGGCTGCTGGACACCCCGTGGTTGAGGCATTGGAAAGGTGTGATGCCCGCCTCCTTGCCCGACCGGTATACCTTGACGAGGTCGTTGACGGAGGCGAACTTTAGTGCGATGTGGTCTATTCCGCAGGCACCTTCGTCCTTGGCAGCGGCCGCGGGGTCGTTGATGATGGCCAGGCGGTGGTGCTCCTTGTCCCACGCGAGAAGGGAAATGAAGTCGTTGGCGAGCAGGATCCTTGCGCCTAAGAATTTCTGATAGAAGTCGACTAGTCTCTCGGGGTTCGTGGTGCGGAACCCCAGATGAGCAATCTCGGCGGGCGCGGGCACTGCATTCGAAGCCATCGTGAGACGCGGTATGATTTTGTTCAATTTGATTTCGGAGTATGCCACAGTATATGGAGATGAAGCGAATCATCCCCACATCCGCCCTCTATGCTACGCGGGGCGTCGAAGCCTTTTTGAAAGACGCACATACTCGCACATATGGCCAACACCGGCGAGCTTCGTGGCAACCCTGACAAAGCCCTTTATGGGAGCATGAAACTGGTTGTCATGATCAGGCGATGTCAGGCGGCGCTTCAGAATCAAGTAACCAGTTAAAGCCCTCCATCATCCCGCGCGCGAGATCCGATGACTCTCAACAAATTGCGAAAATCAGACGTTCAATCCACGAATCATACGTCGCCATAATATGAATCACAGGTCCGCACTAGGGCACCGTTGTTTCCATATATCTCCACCGGCCTCCGCAACCCCGCTTGCTCCGGAGCTCCGCTGAACTCGTCTCAACTCACAAGAGCCGCAGTGTCTGTGTGTCAAACAGTCGCAGGCGGGATCCGGGGCCGATGTATTTTCCATTCGTAAAACAACAGCAGTCGTCATTGCCTATCACCAAAAGAACCTAATCCCTTTCTTGGTAGTATAACACAAATACGCTCGACACAGACCTGGACTTTTCGCTGGGTTTCATAGTCCACTCCTTCGGAGTCATCTTAGATAAGCGGCATGGAAAAGATGCGGACAGGCCGGTGAGGCGCGAATCCTTCTAGTCATCAGACGCACAATCACGATCCCACAGAGAAACCCCTGGTTAACACAAATAACCATCAGAAACACGACTTTCACAGCCCTTCCCTTCCACAAAACTCGGCTGCGATTTCAGCTCCAAGTCCGAAAGAACAAGAGTCACGTTAAGAATTATAACATATGACTGTCACTCAAGGCTACGTTTGGAGCATTCAGATCAATTTTATGGACAATTACTGAGCCGTGTCAATTATCCCGCGCCAACAAGTATGGTGGGATGTGTTGATCGTGAGCGTCCGCCACTTGCTCATGACCGATGCTCTTTCTGTAGAAATCTGATTCCAGGCACGCCTTGCGAGGACAAGCAAAGAATCCACAAGATAATCTCAGTCGTGGACTTACGCCTAGTTCAGAGTTGGTCAACATGGGGTTGCACCGGATGCTTGATAATAGAGCAGGTCTTGTCATATTTGAGTTCTAGCTGGAGACATTACACCTCAAGCCCAAAGTGTCCGACGTGCGAGCCCACGAGTTTCCAGCACTGCAGAGAGGGCGATTGTTCCAAGTCAGCATTTGCCCTCCTTTCACTTGGACAGAGTATTGTGGTTTGCTACCCGTTTCGTATCTTGGATGACCTTGCTGCTGGTCTAGAAAGAACCCTTGAGTTATTGATACATGACGGCACGTGTCGAGTCCAACGCGCTCGGGTATTAGTCCTTTCACTGATGTATTCTGATCCAGGTGTACCGGTGACCGCAGCGTCAGCCTATCATGCTATTCATGCAGATTATTTGGCGCAAGATTGGTCCACCAGGTCACTCAAAGCCAAGGCGTGGATTGAGACTTGCCGTATTCATCACTCTTGTGAGGGTGGTCAGAGTGCCAAGGCCGACGAAATAGCCAATGAAAAACCAGCCGACGAAGATATTTTGAAGAGTGTTGAAGATGAGTTCCGTACAGCATCTTTGAAGCTCTGCAACACAGCCTCTCACGTTGATGTCTCGGTAAGCCCCAAAATTAGCCGGCCGCCAAGTTTACCGCGAAGAGTTCTGAATCTCAGACGGTTTCTGACTGAGGGAAATTTATGCCTGTTGGAGACAGAGAGCATGAGCGGTGTTTATGTGTGCCTGAGCTATACATGGGGCCCAAGGAACAATGGCGTGACAACCCCTGACAACCTTCAGGCAAACTTCAACAATATCCCTTACGACCAACTTCCACAGACATACAAAGATGCAGTAACGGTGGCAACGGCATTAGGTGTCTCATTCCTGTGGATAAAAAAAATGGGCTATGCATAATCCAAGGCGACAAAGACTCAATAGACTGGAAGGAACAGTCCTCTCAGATGGCAGAGATTTACGGAAATTCTCTTCTGGTAATCGCAGCCGCGAATTGCAGCAGCGTGGAAGACGGATTCCTGTCTACGGCAAACACACCCCGGAGTCTCATCAAGTTCGAGCTTCCCCGGGACACAGATGCTCCTTCTGTGGTTTACGCTCGCACAATGCTCGACCACAGCTGGCTTGGCTGGTCTACTCTAGCAGAGCCCAAGATAGGGGGGGCGCTGAGCCGCAGTTGGTGCTTTCAGGAGGAGGTTCTCGCCTCTCGTCTTCTAACATTCTACGGGGGCGAGATAAACTTCCAATGCCTGGACAACGGGTACCTGTGCGAGTGCGAGTTTCCTGGTTCGTCTTTGGGCCTGGTGACGATCAAGGAACTGTACGAACCGCGCTTGCAGCTAAGCAGCTTCGAAACACCCAACTGGATGTGGCAGAGTACTGTTGAGCACTACACGCGGCGACGGCTCACGGTGGCCACCGACAGGTTTGTAGCCTTGTCTGGAGTAGCTCGCGTAGCTCAAGCCGCTCTACGCACTAGATATGCCGCAGGACACTGGTGGGATTCGGACTTCCTCTGCAGCTTGTGCTGGGCGCCTGTGCGAACCAAGGAGACTGAGCGTACCTTTTCAAAAGCATACGTCGCGCCATCGTGGTCGTGGGCGTCTCACAATGGGCCGGTTACGATGTGGATTCCGTACGCGGGCTCCGAAGAGCCAATCACCCCCCGCTTCCAAGGGAAAACGGCTGCACGAGAGGTCAGCATTGTGCCAACGACCCAAGAATCGGCTGGATCCATTTCCAGCGGGAGCATTACAGTTCGGGGGGGTTTCCTTGATGTTGTGGTCGAAGCAACTTCAAAAGAGCAGTTGGCTGGCGCAATGACGAGAAATGGGGAGAGGATCGCCTTCAACTTTGGCCGCCCACTGGGAACAACAAGCTTGGCCGATAGGTGTTTTTGCTGGATTGTCTGTATCTTCCCAGGCAATCCCTTGCGAAAACGACAATCAGATACGTATTGTTTGATCCTACTTCGTGGTAGACCTGGGGGGTCTGAGCATATCTGCGAGCGCGTTGGCTTCGTCGACTACGATACAATGAAAAATTGTACCTCAATGCGATTTTTTCAAAGGATACAGACGCTCAATCAGGTTAGCAGTCATAGTCTGAACATGGAACCGGTCGGAAAGTCTCGACTGCGGTTGTTGTAGCTGATGGCATATCAGGTAACTCAACCCCTCTGCCGTCTCTTTTTCTTCTCACTGCTCGAAACGTGGTGCAGAAGGAAAGCCGGTATTGGCTTACACTTTGCGGGCGGACACTCGTAGTGTAATCAGCTACTGGTTGAGGCCAGAGTTGGAGGCATTCGGAATGGGTCAGCCCAATTTGGCTCCGTCACTTTTGAGGCCGGCCAAGACAAACTAACTCCTTTCCAGCCTTCGATTCTCGACATACAACTGCTCGCCAATGAAGCTGCGCTAGTGAGCCTTGAGCCATTCGTAGCTCCTTCAGGGGCATATTACATTAGGCCCTTAATCACAGCAATACAGATGTACCCACTCCACTCCACTTCCTACGCACGATCTAGCTGATTGTGGTGCAGCCAGTGTAGCAGCGCAAGCAAGTGCTGTAAATGACAGAAAAGGTCCAACCAGCTCCAGCTCGTTCACGCCGAGTGAGGATGAACCGGGCGACGACGGGCAAAGTCTGAGCAGTACCGGCTCTTCCACAGAGAGTGATGATGAATCAGATGACGACAACGAAGCTGTCACCACTGCCTTGGCATACGAGCTATTACCTAGTGGAGAATTAGCTTTCTAGAAGCCTAGGTTACTAATAGTATACCTAGGAAACAGAAGGCTGTTGATACAAATACTAATATAAAGTTAATGTTAATTGAAGAGGTATAGTAAGCCTAGATAAAGGTAGGCGAGGTTAAAAGGAATATAGATAAATCTAGTGTATTCAAATTACCTAGGAAGGCTTACACTTGTATTGTTATAGTATCTAGATAATATTAGTAGTTGATTAATAAGGTAGCGTTAGTAATTATTATAATAGTAATGTTTTTAGGTAGTTAATTGTAATGTGGGGGTGATTAGAAAGTAGGTGCTTTGACTTACATAAGCTAGACTACTCTGGGATATATAGTAAGATGGCGTGGATGATCTGGATCTTCCCTCATCCTATTAAGTACACTTAAGTAGCCTTTAGTTGTCTCCACGTGTCAAAGATTAATATCTGCTAAAAGCAAAAGAGAGATGTGCTCGAAGCTGTATAAGACCTTCTCTAAATACCTTTTGGTATCTAACCATAGTGATTTATTGACAAGAAGATACACAGGCATACAGTCGTGATGGATACAATGGTTACACATAGCAATAGAAAAACGTTTCGTTCACTGCGGCCAAGACCTTGAAGCTTCCCCAAACTGCCCCTCTGCACCTAACATGCCCCAGAGATGCTCCAGTCGGACACCTCCAAATAGGTCAGTGTTGCTGATCTCGGTAAACATTCCAGTCAGATCCGGGAGCTCAAAGTCCATCATGTCCGTAGCCGTACTTATGGCTTCAGGGTTTGAGTCATCTACTAGCGCATGCTCGGGACGCACCGATTCCACGGCAATGGGGTTTATTGAACCCCGGTGCTGCCGGTGGCCGGACACAATCTCTGACATGTTCGATTGGAGGACTGAACACGCTTGGATGAAGCGGGAGTTCTGCGAGACCTTGGTGTACTGCTCTTCTGCGTACTGTGCCGCTATCCCCAAAAGCTCCAGGTCGGAGCGAGCAAGCCTCGAGCTGGGTTGCTTGAGGATGTGCAGGGCCAGGGCCACAGCCGCCATGAGTGGCTGTGTGATGGTGAAGATGATGGATTCTGACATGGTATGAGGAGCTTCGTCGAAGATGCCGCCTCTTGGCCGAGGGGTTGGTGTAGAGTCGTCAGCTATTTCTCCGATAAGTCTCACAATCGTCCTCGCGGAGCCAATGCATATTTCGGCACCGCGCCTCAAGCGTGTGAGCTCCACCGCCGACAAAGTGCCAGAGTCGGCTTGGAAGTTGATGTGCGTCCGATACATGGACTCGGGGAACACCAAAGCGGCCCTATGGAGAGATATCAGAGCATGATGGTATTGTATGGCCAGGAAAACTGTGAGATGCTTGTGATCGGTCTCGCACAGGATCTCGTTGCCGCTGTTTGGGCCAGGAGGGCGGATCTCGGGAGGCAGTGACTGGGCCCACTCTGTCAGCGCTGAGTCCAGACGGACTGTGTCGCCAAGTAGAATGCGAGAGGTCTGGGATTGTCCCGAGCGGCGGTAGATGTGGGCGCTGATGCTGCTGATTATGCGACTCAAAGAAGTCCAGGGCTGGAAGTAGTCGACGGTCTGACGATTAGTGAGGGATGCCGAGGCTGATAGTGAAATTATCCCGGCGCTGGGGATGGGCACGGGATCTGGCAGCCTGTGGTCACAATCCGAGTCGTGTATCGCAGCTGGACGACCAGTTTCAAGTTCCATGAGCTTTTCGAGGTTATAGCAAGCCCACCAGACTCTGCTGTGGAGCTTACGGTCTGCTTGGTATCCCGGCGAAGGGGCCGAGTTCCCCGCATCTGGTGTATTCCCAGAATGCCTTGTCGACGCATGGCGGTGGAGGCCGATAGAGTGAGCGATGCGAATCGCTTGCCCCAGAGTTTGCCAGCCTTGTCCTTCTTTACTCCGGCCGCGCAATGCGATGGCCAGGAGGACGAGGGCCTGCACCGAAGCCAGGTATGGGGTTGATATGACGTGCGCCAACAGGCTGTAAGCTGCTGTCAAGTAATGGGTACCAACCTCAGTGAGCATGCAGGTCTCCTCGTCAGCGCCGATGCACACTATGCTGTATATGCACACCAATAGAGGCACCTGTGATGGTTCAATGAGGCTTTGCAACCCGGCGGACGAATCCGAGTCTTGGAGCGTTGTAAGCCGACCCAACTCGGAGCGAAGGGTAGGCTCATCAAATACAGGAAACAGCGGGAAAATCCGCTTCATGTAAACGTCTAGATAAGCGTCCATGGTGGGAAGCGGGGGAAGCGAGGGTAGTTGGAATGAAAGCGGCACTTGGTACTCTTCAACGTGATGCATCCCAAAGAGGAAATAGGGTGATATGGGCCTCAGACCGCGTTTGCGGAAGAAGAGATCAGCAAACATGGTCAACGACTGAACGCTGCTGCCACCCATGAACTTTAAGCGGTGCGGGCTCTCGTCGGTGTTCAAGGTCATGTCAGGATTGAGATCCGCGTGCTCGTGCGGACTCTGGTTGTCGCGGGCATTGGCGCGGTAGGCCTGCGCAACCCACGACATCTTTTGCGAAGCGGCAGCTTCGCCCTCTGAGCCGTCGTCGTAGGCTGGAGACAGGTACTGTCGCGCTCTGGGCGAGGTGGCTCGATAGCGCGGTTGCTCCCGCGGCGTCCCCGAGATCTCATGGGTGCTACCGCCCTCGCTTGGGTTTGCATTGCTCTTGGCTGCCCACTTTCGGACGGCATGCTGGTTTGGGTTCCTGGGGTTCGTGGTCTGGCAGTCGTCGCCTCGGAGGATGCAGTTGTGGCATTTGGGCGTTTGCGCGTCGCACCGCACCTTGCGCTTCCGGCACTGGTTGCAGGCTAACGACAGGCGGATGCGCTTCGAATGTGATTGATTTCCGGAGTCGGACGGCTGCTCGCCCGAACTCGACACGGAGCCGGTCATGACGTCGAAGCACAGGCTGTTCAGATCCGTACGATGGCTCGGAGAAGCGATTCGGGGCTCAGGTCAGCATGTGCGGCACTCCTCGGTCGGCCTCGGATGTCTCCAGCGGGTAAGGTATATAATGTGACTTGACTCGAAACGTGGGGAAAAGGAATATTACCCTGCCCGCAGGAGACGGAACCCCGCCCCAGGGACGGGGGAAGAATCCGGGGGCGGGGGAGAGAGGGGATGGCCGCGGCATTGAGGCCCGGGAATCAAGACCAGTCAGTGTGTCGTGATTAACAATAGACCCCAAAGCTGAATATCATGCCGGCGGCGGTACGAGTTGTTGCTAGACTGATTCACATCGATTTTCGTACCGGTAATGTATATCGAATTCTGTACTTGCCCATCCCCTTCTTAGGCTTTGAGTGGAGATCCTGGCGTTTGAAAACAATAGCAAATGTTTGTTTAGGCTTTGCATCTATTCCAACCCTCTGGTCTACCCAATTTTTAGACGTGATTGCGAAGTCAATTTTATGGGCAGCAGAAATTCTGGTGTATAAGGGAATGTTATATGAATCTGTAGCTTGTTGACTGACAACTGACTATCTCCAAAATGCGGTGCGAAGCTCATGATCCATTGGTCCCCTGCTAGCTTAAAGGCCTGGATACACCTGATGTCACACGTGGAACGTGTCTGGTGACACGATCATTCAGCAAGGAGAAAGGAGTACGATTCGCGGAGTCTGTTTTAGTTTGCTTTCATATTCGCTCAATGTCTCCAGCACAGAAACGCCAAATTTAATGTTGAAATTACAATTTTACCTATCAATACGCCTTAACAGCCGCCAGCTGCAATAACCTGTCTGTGATCACAGGCTTCTCCAAAGGCTCATCACGCTCTTGCGGGTCAATCACTCCATTCCTCTTTGCCTTGCCTTGGGGGTGGATGTTAGTGTGCGGCCAGTGCGTCGTGCCCCCCCACTCCCGGAAGATATCCGCCTTCTCCTTCAGGCTCTGGGGATCCGCGAACTTTGCTGGGGTAAAGCACACATATTGGGCGTGACGGATCTGGGTGCCCTCGGGGTGCTTGGCATAGTGCATAGTTCTTCAAGGTATCAGTCTCGCAGTGTATAGCCAGGGCAGAGGGTGGTCCATACCTCGAGTCCCACAGGACCATGTCACCAGGGTCCAGGTTTGGCTTGAGAAGCTTGCATCCGCGCTTCTCGAACCATGCAACGTCCTCCTCCTTGAAAATAAAAAGGTCGCGGTAGTTCTCCTCTGGCGGTGGGGCGTCCTCATGGTTCGCCATGACTCTGGTTTCTTGGAAGAACTGGTCGAAGAGCTTGGCTGAGCCATCCATCACGATGAGACCGCCGTCCTTGTCGCCGTTGGGTGCAAAGTTGACCAGGCCTTGGACGCACTGTAGTCCTTTGCGCTTGGGATCTTGGTCTAAAGGCTTGTCGTCAGTAACGCCTCACACCGTGGGTTCGACAGAAGGACCCTACCGCAATGAGGCCACGGCGACCATTTCAAGTCCTTTTGACGGGGGAGAGTAATGTTGAACATATCAAAGCTACTAAGCAGCTCATCTGTCTCCCAAATTTGAATGAATGGGTTGATTACTCCAGGCTCCCTAGTCTGGTTCAGCCAGCTGAGCCAACAGTGCAAGGCCAGATGTCCACTTACATTCTTGTTTCCCACGCGAATCTTTCATGCGGGGCGCAGTAGGACCCATACATGCCGCCCTTAAAGGACACGGGGAGGTGCTCAGAAGTCCATGTGTCTTCGTTCTCAGGGTCAAATCCTCGGTTAAACGACTTGAGCCACTCGATCTGCTTTGTCTTGAAGTGCTCGGCTCGCTCAGCAGAAACGACGTTTTTCAGGATGACGTAGCCATGCTCAAAGAAGAAATCACGCCAGTCGCCGTAGTTGGTCTTGGGCGTGAGGAGGTCCTTGGCCATTTTTGGCAGCGTTTGACTTGCAAAAAGCGTGGGAAGCTTGTATGACAACGACTCAAAAACGCTAGAGACTTGTTGATAGTTTGAACTGAGTTGTGAACGATCAATGCAAAAAGATTGCAGAAGTTTCGGGGGTTATATGTGTGCTCCTTTTCGCTGCATAGTCAAACAGCTCTTTACGGTTTGAAGCTATCCCTGGGAGGCTGGGCCATTGACCCAAGCTTCCCCGCAAGTCCAATTGGCAATGATGCATACGCAGATTCGGTTGCGGGGTGCCTCGAGCTGACCTGACTCGTAGGCCCAGGTCGATCGTTTGCCCGGATTCGATACGATCCGGCGTACCTCAAGGGTTCGGGTAACCTCGATTCGGTTCGGTACGGTTCGGCCATGTCTAATTACCCCTTACTTTTCTCCGCTTTCCTGGGGTAAAGGAGGGGCCGGCGGTCGCGGATGTTACCTCAGATCTGCTCCAGGAGCTACCCTGCCATTCAACCCTGCGTATTGGTCCCTGATGCTGACGCCCGTCCAATGCGGTATCCGCTCCGGGCAGCTTTAGACCGAGGTCCTGGCGACACGGTCACATCAATGCGCGTTCTGGCGAGCCTGTCTGGACATGCCAGCATCTGCAGACGCGTCTGATAAAAAGCAGCTGGTTTACTTTCCTTCAAAAATCCCTGACACCTAAGCTACCCTTTGCTCTCCCCAGAATATCCCAGATATCTATACATTCCCAAGAACAGTGCCCGCCAGTCCCAACATGCCTCTTCCGATAGAGGTCGCAATCAAGCCCATTGGCAAACCCGAAATCGGCGTTAATAACTACCTGGGATTCACTCCCGGCCGCACAGAAGTCCTGCCAAAGGGCTGGAACGGCTACAACGCGAAACCTCTCGAGAGCGACATCCGTATCGATCATGACGTTGAGATCAAAGTACGAGATGGCTGCAGACTCTACATCGACGTCTACCGGCCGGCGGACAGCAATGGAAAGATCCCCGCCATTGTGGGATGGTCGCCCTACGGTAAAAAGTACAGCGCGCTTACAATGCTTCCCATGACACCGTGGTCCTGCTATGTCAAGAAAAGCGACCTCAGCGGATTGGAGAAGTTCGAGGGTCTGGACCCCCAGAGGTGGTGTCCCAAGGGCTACGCCATCATCAGCGTCGACAGCAGAGGTGCCGGCAACAGTGACGGGCAGGTTCCGATCATGGGACTGCAGGACGCCGAAGATGCATACGACGTCATTGAAGCCATCGCCGAGTTCGAGTGGTGCAATGGCAATGTCGGCATGGCAGGCAACTCTGCCCTCGCGATTGCTCAATGGCACGTTGCGGCCTTGAACCCTCCGTCGCTGAAAGCCATTGCGCCGTGGGAGGGAAGTGGCGATTTGTTCCGCGAGCAGTTCGTCAGAGGCGGCATCTTCTCCATGAGCAACTTCGACCTGATCACCAATCTCATCATCAAGGGCAATACGGGCGTGGAAGACTTTGCGGAAATGTACCGTCGCAGCCCCTTGTCCAATATTTGGTGGGAAGACAAGCGCGCAAACATGAAGGCCATCAACATTCCCGCCTACATCTCGGGATCAGACTTTAGTTCCATTCACACCATGGGTAGCATAAGAGGCTTCATCGAGCTGGGCTGTTCCAAGAAGTGGATTCGCTGGAGCGCCTGGCAAGAGTGGTTTGACTTGTACAGCGTGCCGGAAACCAACGATGACCTGGCAGTGAGTCCCTCGTTATCCTATCCGATTATCGCCTGGCTCATTGACTTGTGAAGAAATTCTTTGACAGGTACCTCAAAGGCATCGAAAACGACTGGGAGGAGACACCCAAAGTGCGGTGGACGTCCCTCAAATTTGGCGATCGAGAAGCTGAGAGCGATATCATATTCGAAGACTTCCCTCCTCCCAATACCGATTACAAGACGTTTTACCTGAACTCCGGAGCACTGACCGGGGCAGCTCTAGAGAGCTCATCGAAAGTGTCATACAACTCCGAGGACAGCAAATCGCTTGCCAAATTCACGTACACCTTCGATAAGCCATCGCGATTAATCGGTATCCCAAAGGCGATCCTCTATATGTCATGCCCCTCGCATGATGATATGAATGTGTTCATCAACATCCGGAAACTGGACAAAGATGGCAACCCCATGATGCACCTCTGCTTCCCCTTCTGGGCTGCGCCGGTCAAGTCCATCCACGACATCCCAGAAAAAGACCAAAGCAGCACGAACCTTCACCTCGGCTCGGTTGGCCAGCTGAGGGCCTCTCACCGCAAGATCGACCCTTCACGATCAATGCACCCGCAGTTTCCCTTTCATCCCCACGACAAGGAGAACAAGATCCCACTGGGTACAATCGTGGAGTTGGAGATCGGCATATGGGCGATGGGTGTTGACTACGAAGCCGGCGAATCCGTTCAAGTGCAGATTGGCGGCCAGTTCCCATCCATCGCTGAGTACAAGGCCTTTTCGACAGAGCGTCCTGATTATGAGAGGAATAAGGGGGAGCATTTCATCCACTGCGGACCCGAGCATCCGAGTCGCATTATTCTGCCTTTCATTTACTGATGGACTGGAAACGTCCCAAAGGTGTCCAGACAGTGTGCTCGTGCAATTAGGATTCCTTGACCCAACTGCTTACCCAGTTGTTTCTACTTGGACTTTTGTTAAGGCGAGCAGTTGTAGACTAAGTCAAAGCACCCACTTATGACCCCCCCACCTATATAGCCTACCCTAAAAATACTGCCTAGCCACTGACTTTCTAAATAACCTCTGACTTTAAACTATTATAATATTTCTTATTCTTTACTAAATTGCTTTATTTTTCTAGAATATATTCTTTAATATACTATAACCTAATATACTAAAGATAACATCTAAAAAGTACTTACTAATATTAGAAATAGTATATTTTCTTAGGTTACCTCTAGGTAATAAAGTATACTATAATTAATACCTTAGTATTATATAAATAGTTATTAATAAAGGTTAATTACCTTTAAGAATCTTTAGTAACTATTAACTACCTAAGAGGCTAAGCTAGCTACTTAAGTAACTAGTTATTATAGTTAGTAATCTAACAGTAGGGTTTTTACTAGGAATAAGCTAGGCTTAATACTTAGTTAACAGTAGTATAGGCTTACTAGTCTATTAATTACTTAGTAATTAGTTAGGTAATTAGTAGTTATAAAGGTAGCTTATATAGCTCTTGTTAATTAAATTACTAAGGTTAAATACTAATAGGTATTTAAATAAATTATATTATAAGAAGTTAATTACTAAAGAGCTATATAAGTTTATCCTTAAGTGTGTCTAAGTCTATCTTATATATAAGTCCTAACTTTATTAATATATTTAGGACTAATATCTAATTATTAGTTCTTTACCTTAGACTACCTTTAGTATTATTAGTCCTTTACCTTAGACTACTTATTATTTATTAGTCCTTCTTATTATTATATAGCTTATACTATAGTTCTTTTTAACCTAGGGAGTTATTTTAGTTTAACTTATTATTAGTCTTATATAAATACTATACTACTTACTAGTTATTTTATCTAGTAAAGTAATATTACCTATAACTTATTAGGTTATAATATTAGGTCTCTCCTCTAAAGGTTTTACTCTTAAGACCTATATAAGTAGGTTATTACTTCTAAGTTAAAAAGTTATTAATTTTACTTCTTTATTTACTATAATACTAATATTATATTAGGTTATATAAAAAAGTTAAAAAAGGTTAAATCTTATAAGATAAAGGTAAAAGATTATAAATGTACTACTCTTCTTAAATTTATTAAAGCTTATTTACTTTCTACTAATCTATCTAGTCTTCTAGCAGCAGAGCCCCTATTGTCTAGGCTCTACAAGCTTAAGTCTTACAATATACCAATACCTACTATTAAGCCCTACCTAGTTAAGTGCCTATAGCCCTTATTTTACACTAATAATTATATACTAGTTAGCTAGCTAGCTAAGTATATAGGTATAAGTATAGACTCTAGGCTAGCTACCTATAGGTTAATAAGGTAACTATATATATAGGTTATTAATATATAGGCTAGTTAGCTATTAAGCTTATTAAAGTTATAGTAATAATCCCCTATATAAATAGATCTATTATTATTATCCTAGGGACCTGTCTCTATAGTGTAACTAATGTTATTATCTTTGTTGTCTTTATTATCTCTATCTAGGGTATCTTGACCACAGTACTATACAGCTTCACATGGTAGCAGCGGCAGCAGCAGCTAGTGGACTTGTTGCTAAAGGGACTAGATTTCCTCCTCCTGTTCTTTAAGTTGCTAGTAGACATGAGATTTACCTCCTGGCGGGTTGCCTCCTCTAAATCCAGGGTGTAGTTGACGTGGCTTAAGAGGGCGTGGTTAGCGTGGTTGGCGTAGTTAGGCATACGTTGGAAGCGGTGTCAGTAGCAGCAGCTTCAAGTATCTTGCTGCTAGCCAAGGATTATATATAATCTTTGCCTATTTGCTCTCACAGCGGATTATATCTTCTCAGACCATCCTGTTGCAGAAGAGCTTAACAGCAGCATAAAACTTCGCGGCTAAGAAGAGGGTTGGCACCACTAGCAAAGCAGACCATTCACTCATCGGCAATAAGGAGGGTAGCAATAAGACAGTTGTTATTAACAGCAGTGATAGTAAAGTTAACGAGGGCAAAGAGGAGTTTAAAGGTGAGGGCGATGGGGGCTAGCAGTCTAGCAGGTGGCAAAAAAGGGCATTTCAAGATATAAAGTCTTGACGGCAAAGTCGGCAGCGATGTTGTTGGCCACAGTTATTGGCGTATATATAGCGAAAAAGCGCGGATCTTGAGGGGAATCTGGCACCGCACTTACGGCAGGGCTCTGGCCGGCGACTTCGTTGGTGTTATTGCTGTTGTCGTTCGAGAGCTTTAATTAACAGTAGCTCTGGCGGCAGTGGTCTTGACGTATGAAAGGGTGAAATAACCGATATAAAGGAGTGTTGAGAAGGGTAGGAAAAGTGAGGTTGAATTGAAGGTTGGCGATAGTGGTGTTGGTGGCCGGAGGTGTGGCGGATCCGGCCGGATAGGTTAGTCCGGCGTGGGCCGGCGGCGAAAAAATCTGCTGGTGGGCGCATATTAGCGGCCAGGCTGGTGAAGTGTATGCCATCGATTAATTAGTTGCCTTTAAGATAACTAATTGAATAGCTTTTAATGGCGATTTGGCGTATTTGCCTCTCATCGTTATTAACGGCGGCAGAGGGTTAATTACCCATGGTATCGCAACTGGCGGTTGTGCTACCACTTGACACGGCTAAATAGGTGATGGTTTCGATGCCTATCTAGGAGCAAGAAGCTACGGCTGGCAGCAGCCGGTCTTATAGACTGGCGACAGGTGGGGACCCGGTGGGGCCCAGTGGGACACCAGCTGTCGGCAGGATATCGGCCCGACCAATGGATCCACCGGCAAGGCCGAGAAAGTGGATCCGAAGGTCGGCCGCATTGTCCTGTAACAAGATCTCTTTCTTCTAGATATTCTAATGCCCTAATTAGGCTTAAGACTACTTAGGAGGTAGAAGCTACTATCTAAATTAGAGCTAGTAAGTTACTATAGGTTTAATAATAACTATTATACACTAGCAACAAGGTAGTTAAGTATTATAGTGTAGTTTAGTTATATATACACTAGCTATCCTGCTATCCTACTTACTAGCTTCCTGCTCAGTTTTACTAATAACAGTAACATTTACCCCACTTTTGCTTATCACTAATTACTACACTTTAATAGCCTCCTACTACCTATAAGAAGCCCTTTTCCCTCCCTAGCTGCCAACTTCAACCTCTGCTTAGAAACAACATCAACAGTCACAGCCATGGCTCCAATCAATTATTTTAACGAAATAGGCGCCCAGCGGGCACATAATATTATCGCTCATAAACGAAGGTGGGCCTGTCACGTTGATCCTGTGTTAAACTGCTGGATCTACACTGGCAGTAAGAACACAGATGGCTACGCCTAGGTAAGCTAGTTCTTTTAAGGTTAGTTTACTAGGCGCTTATCTACTAACAAAATCTAGATATATACTAAGAAGAATAGCCAGATAAACCAGACTAGCTGTAGTGCACAGACAGCGTTCTTGCTACATATTATAGCGCTACAGGTCAAGCTCAGCAACCAGCCAATCCCAAGAGGCAACTATGCTAGTCACATCTGCAACCGCCGTGCTTGCTTTAACCCTAAGCACATCTTCTCTAAGTCTGCTCAGGTAAACAATAGTCAAAAGGGCTGCCTAGGACCAATCTTTTGCCCAGACCATGGTCACAAGCTTATTAACCTTTGCCCACATAATCCCCAGTGTATCTGACTACCTAGCAAGGATGTAATCTGCTGCTTAACTATTTGCTAGCAGCCTAATTAGGGGTGTTTAGTTTAAAGGGGGGGGTATTCTAGCTTTAGAGGGAGGTATTTATTAAAGTATATAGATATAGTAGTAAATTATAATAATATTACTGTTTAATTAGATATAGATTAAGAGTGTATTTATAGTAAACTTACTATAGTTATAGCCTTAAATTTATAGCCTTTTAACTAATATATTTATTATCTAAATTACTACTCTTTAGTAAGGAAATCTATTTAGCTAATAATAGTACTATTTATTTTACTTTTACTATTATAATATTAACTATTATAGATAAATATTAGAGTTACTAGGTTAACCTTAATAACTTATTGCTAGTAAATCCTTAGATATTTAGCTATAGATTCTCTAAGGATTTATAGGTAATAAGTTAGTTATTTAACTAACTAACCTATAATAATTATCCTTCTTTTTTTTATATATAATAAAGAACTATAGTTACCTTATTATTTATTAATTACTACTAATATATATTATTAACTATATTAACTTATCCCTTAGTATTACTAATACTAATTAGTAGTTAACTTTACTATTAACTATATAGGTTAACTTTACTATCTAAACTATAGATTAGTAAGGTCTATAAAAAGAGGTAATTATTACTAGTTAATTATTTATATACCTAGAGTAAGCAAGTACTAAAAACGCCTTTATAAATACCCTTACTATAATAGTTTATACTAATTACTTATTATAATAGGTTAATTAATAGATCTATAACTAGTCCTCTTAACTAATAGAAACCTTATTAATTTATATCTATTATATAAGCTTTATTACCTTTAGAAAAGCGCTCTTAACTATAAAAAACCCTTTATTTTATATACCTATAGCTAACTAGTAATTATTTACTATATCTTATTTATTATAAGCTCTTTAGCTTACTAACTTCTTTTTCTTATATATATACTCCTTTTACTAACTAATAGTATTAATAAGTTACTAATATAATAGCCTATTTTTTTTCTCCTTTTACTAACTAATAGTATTAATAAGTAACTAATATAATAGTTTATTATTTTTCTTTAAGTTATTTACCTATAAGAGTATATTTTTCTCTAGCTATTTATACTACTAGTAGTAATCTCTCTAATAAATATATATACCTTCTAGTCTACTAGAAAAAACGCCTATATTTAAGAGGTTATTAGGCTAATAGAGGATAATAGTTAATAATAATATACCTATAAGCAGAAGACCTAAGCTAAGATAAGTAAATATAATAAGCTTATAAGTAAACAAGGCTTATAAGTTACTATATCTTTACTTATAAGGTAACAAGAAGAAGAGATTTATAGTAAATATAATATACTACCTAATATAGTAAAGAAGATAATAGTAATAAATAATATTATTACTATACTTTTTACTTTTATATAGTATATCTTTTTATACTAATAAGGAAGAGATTATATTATAAGGTTATTAACTAACCTTATAAAGAAGTAATAGTCTTTTATACTTAACACTATTATTATATTTTACCTTAGTAAATCTAAGTATAATAACTACTTTAGTAGTAAATTACTTTATTATATATAAGAAGACCTTACTAACTAGTCTATTAATAACTTTAAGGCTATTAACCTAAAGGTCTTAATAGGTCTATATAACTTCTTTATTAACTATAAAGTATAAGTTAACTATAGTAAGCACTTATT